CTCCTCCTCCGTCGTCGTCGGTCGTCGTACGTCTACACGACACACACACACACACACACACACACACACACACACACACACACACACACACACACACACACACACACACACACACACACACACACACACACACACACACACACACACACACACACACACAATCATTATCTGTATCTATTGATCCTCATCATTCTGAGGCTCCTTCACTTTGCTCACCAGAGGGGCCAGGCTGAAACACACACACATAACACTGCAATCGTTATCTATATTTATTGATTTTTTAAGAATTTTAAACGTTTTTCTTTATATAATGCTTTATAACACATTTGAATATTTTCTGAATATTTACTTTTTCAGAATTTTTACAGAATTCCTATTTTCCAAGATTTCCAACTCAGTTTTTTCTCAGATTTGTCAAAGATTTCTCAGAATTAAAAAAAAAGATAGTTTTTAGTTTTTCACTTTTTTTCACTTTACTCCGAATTTCAATTTTTCTAAGATTTTCCACATTTTTTCAGAATTATGATTTATTTCAGAACGACTTTCAACTTTTTAGATTTCCAACTTTTTCTTAGATGTTTTACTTTTTTTTCAGAATTTCGGCTTTTTCTCAGAATTTCCATTCCTTCAGAATTGTGAATTTATTTAGAATTTTGACTATTTTCAGAATTTCTAATTTCTCTCAGAATTTTCCCTATTTTCAGATTTCCAACTTTTTCCATGATTTTCTTTTTTTTCAGAATTTTGACATTTTCCAGATGTGTTACTTTTTCTCAGAATAAAAAAAAGAAGATAATTTGGGATTTTTGGAGAATTTTTCCCAAAAAGTTATTCTCGGAATTTCCATTTATTCTGAATTTTGACTTTACTCAGATTTTTTTTCAAGCTTTTCTCAGAACTATGATTTGTTTGAAACCAGAAGTTAGCGAGTATAAACCGGTACATGGTGGAAACAGTGTTTACGTCCTCTGTGTTTTTACCATTTCACTGCCAGGTTCTGCACCTCCCCGTTCTTGTCCTCCAGCAGTTTGAGCAGCATCGTCACCACTTTCCTCTCACTGTCTTCATCCAGCTTTATGCTGTCCTTCTGCAGCTCTAGCATCAGGTCATTAGTGGCCATGAACCTGGAGACACACACACACACACACACACACACACACACACACACACACACACACACACACACACACACACACACACACACACACACACACAGAATGAAGATACATACACAAAATGACCTGTCTTAATGATTATGAATTAATGTCAGATGTTATGTTGTTATGAGACCATATTCATCAACACAAAGGCAGCAAAGAAAGACTTACTCATCAATATTTAATAGGAGAAGTTGACTCAAATGTGTTGTCATGTTGTTGTTGTTGTTGTTGACGCTTATCATTCTGAAATGTTTCTACATAATGAGTAGTTCTAGTTTTTGGTACTTTTGGTACGTTTTCGGGGGGGGAGGCAAAATATAAGTTCATATTGAAAATGACTATTGACTTTTTGACTGATTTTGAATGCTGGACTTTTACTAATAATGGACTATTTCTACCAATTTACATCTCAACACACATTGACACACTTCTAATAATATTAGTTAACTTTCTTTGTGATTACAGGTGTCTATCTTGTGAAAAATAAAACCCTTTAATTCAATACAAAATTATAAAAGTACAATGAGAATTTATTTGTGATTGAGCTAACTCATCTCAACACACATTTCACATATTGGTATTTTTTTATTATTAGTTATTACCAACATTCAGTATGATTACACAAATGAGGACTTTTTAGGACTTCAAGCTAACTTGTCTAACACATTAAGCTACTTTTTAAATAAGTTATAAGTTAGTAAATTACCAGTGTTGTTTACTTTTGTCTCTCTTAAAAAAGCCATATTACATGTTAATAAAATGACAGACTCATAATAAGCCAGGACTGAAAAGTGTCATCTCACTGTCACAAACACACATTTTAACTCTGTCTTACCTAAAGTCTTTGTCAGTGGATGTCATTTTCTCCAGCAGGTTGGAGATATAGTAGGAAACGCTGGACATCCTGGAACTTTGACACCTGTCAGCGGCTCTAAGAGAACTTATTATCCGAGAAAAGTGAGCAAACTGGGGCAACAGATTTGAGATTCAACCCGACAACATGGCGAGGAGTAGAGGGGACAGAGAGAAGTAACACCGGGGGGAACCTGACACTTTAGGATAAAAATAGATCTAAGAAGAAAAGTGTTCGAGGTTTATGGAGCCATCTGGTGGATAAACAGAGTCCTGACAATTAGCTGTTGTTAAAAGTCTAGACTTACGCATAGAAAACGCATTTCATACGATATTTTTGACAGTTTATAATTGCGCAAATATTCAGACAGTCTGGATTACCCTTCTTCCTCTTTGCTTAATATGTATATGTTTCGCTATCTTGTAAAACGCATTGGTAAGTTGGTATTTATTTAACATTTATAATGCTTTATTTCAATTTTTATTTTGTCTACTTTTTTACTTTTTTTATACTATTTGTTTCTTATTCTTTATTTAAAAAACGATATATGTATATTGAATATTAAATACACACAAAACATCGACATCAGGGTTAAAAAAAAAAGAGTATAAAACACATTTATATATAGAAAAATATTTTAGGAAATGCCCAAAATCAGACCAAAATATTTTAGAGTACAAACAGTGAAAGAATAAATGACACCAATGTTCATTTTTATGCATATTATATTATCGTAAACCTCTGTTATGCTCTTATGCGGAACCTTTCTTCAGTGGTGTGTGTGTTTCCGCCGGTAGAAACAGTGTGTGACCCTGCTCTGTGGGAAGCGGCTTCTTGTTGCCACGTCGGAAGAACCGGGTTTATTAATTTAGAATAAAATACTACCATATTCTGGATAGTTTCCTGCTTTAGCTGCAGTCATGGTGAGTAAAGTAACTTCATACTGAAGCTGCAGGAGAAGCTGTTTGTTTACATTTGGTGGTTTTAACGGTGACCGTTGGTTGATGACGTGTTAGCTTGTTAGGCTAATGACAGCTAATCCTTAAACTAAAGTGTCGATCGTTATATCTGTGAGATTTAATGCTTTAATGTGTATTTCAGGTTTCTGTTATCAACACGGTGGACACCTCTCATGAGGATATGATCGTAAGTTATCATTATTTTTCATTTAACCCCAAGCTTCTGATCAGTGGAGCTAATGTTAGCATCTACTATCTTATCAATTACTTTAAATAGCAATAAATACACATGTGCTTCTTTTCATGTCACATGTGTTGGAAGAAGTACTACAGCTATCATCACAAGCTAATATTAACACACAGAGGTGGAGGAAGTATCCTTTACTTCAGTACTAGCTACTAAAGTAAGTACTTAAGTATTAAGTGTAGCATGATGGTTTGCAGGCATATACTTTAATAAAGGCTCATTATATGTGTGTGAACAAAACCTAAATGTCTAATATAATGTGCCTAATATAGATTTTTAGCAGTGAAAAGTACTAGTAGGTCATTTGACTCCCTCCAGAAAACCCTGGCTCAAACACTTGTTTTCATGTATTGTAAAAATACAAATCAAACATGTTTGGACTTTAATATGACTCTTAAACAAGTACAAATGTGCTACCACACTGTAAAAATACTCTATTTATTATACTCCTTATAAGTAAAACATTGCATTGAAAATGTTACTAAGTATTTAGGTATCCAAGTTTTAGTACATAAATATCCCCGGTGACTGTTGTACTGTTTATTTCATTAGATCATTATTACTCATGCTTTATTGTGAAAGTAGGGTATATGTGTTGCAGTTGGTGGAGGAGGAGCTCACGTTTAATTACCTACGATTATTCATTTAATTATCTATCGGTCTGCATTTTATGTTCTCTGTTAATGATTGATTACTTGGTTTCAAAATAGTGAATACAGTGAGAAACACTCTCGGTGTCCCAGAGCCTAAAAGTGAAAATGTTTGTTTTTGTCTGTCCAACTAAGAGTCCTAAAACCACCGTTATTACTGATCACAATCAATAACATTATTAAAAAGGAAAGAGACAAATAATCACATTATGAAGCTAGAAACGTGAACTGTCTCATGAAAACATGACTTAAAAGACCAACATCATTTTCTGACCAACGACTAATAGCTAAAAGAAAATCCTCCAAGTAACACATAAGAATGTTAAGAGGGTATATAGTGCAGACATTACAATTATTATATATATTATCTAGGGCCGGGACTCGATTAAAAAAAAAAATCTAATTAATTAATCGCAATTAATCTCATTTTTAATCACATATAAATATTTGACCTGAGAACAGTGAGAAGCAATTTTCTTCACATGGATTTTAGTATACCATTGAATAATGACTGAATACATAAGCTTAAGCAACAAAACATTGTTTATTTTTTTCAAGGAGGTTCTTAACCAAGACCAACAGAAAAGTGCAATTTTTGCCATAAAGTGTAGCAATAGCATATTTAGGAATATAGTACATTTCAGAGATTCAGGTAGCCTATAGGTAGGTAGACCTTCTGTAAACTATAACACTTTGTTTTTGAAGTAAAACACAATACTTTCAAGTACATTCAGAACATTGGAAACCCTGACTATTAGAAAACATCTCTCTGTTGCTTCAGAGGCCATAACAGACTTTGTTGATTTACCAACAGTTGATTTAAAAAATCTAATAAATTTCAGTCCAACTCTCTCAATAACCTTGGCCAAAACAATAAACAGTTCAACATAAAGTGCCAGTTGCACCAACAACGTAATAAATAGTTCAACATAAA